ATCACTGGGCCCATGCAGGCGGCAGTTTAAACAAAACCAATCTCCCATGGCCCAGTTCTGTGACTCGTACTTCCCAGTCAGTCAAAATTGTGACCGATCCTCATGGGGCTGCATGGGGTGGCAGGGACGATTGCAATCCTCCTCCCCACCCCATGCAACCGCCAACACCCCCGCGCGCATCGCTGCCGCTCCATGCACGCGGCTCTCCGCCCATCCGCAACCGCAGTCCACGCCGCGAAGGCAACACCAAAGCACCCAGCCCCCCGCATCCCTCCCATTGGCTCACCTTGAATCCCGCCACGTACAGCACCAGCTGTTCGGCGTCGAACGCCACCTGCTCCGCGGTCGCCGACCCCATGCAGAATTGCGCCTCCCTGCCCCCGTTGGCGTACCAGCTCGGTAGGTACGTCTGCGACAGCCTCTCCAGAAAGAAGGGCGGCGAGCCTCTGGCCTTCCTGGCGCCGCACTGCGCCGCGAAAATCGCGCAAGCCGCGACCAGGGCCCAGGGCAACGCAAGCGACAGCGACCTGCGCGCAATCGCCATGCGGCCCCCGGGCTTTGCCCAATAAGCTCCCCGGGACGGGATTATCAGTCAGCCTGAATTTTCAGGCCACTTCCCAGGCGCTGTGGCGACTATGAGGCCTCCCTGTGCTGTCTGTTCGTTCAATGGAGCACGAATTGGGCGACAGGGCTGGGCGACTGCCGCGGGGAGTCGAGCTGATGATCGATCAGTTAACCGGTCGATTGAGGGGCCGATTGGATGGCTCCGCGGCTACCGGCCGGCCACGATTTTGGACATGCCCATCGGGCGCGGCGGCAGCCGGCCTGGGCGATTTTCACCGCGCTCCGGGCGGGCAGGGGGGCCTTGGAGTGTGGACCGATTTAACAAGCGGCGTGTTTGGGATGCGGCCTTTGGCATTATGGGGGGGCGGGCTTGCAACGAACTCCACGAGTTCCTGAGAACTCCGTCAACCTTTGATGGGAGGAGATTTCCCATCAATCGCGCACGTGCTGCGTGGGTCGGCATTTTCCCTCGTCAGGTAGGCCGCATGGGCTTGTTTCCAAGGGCCAAGGGGGCCGCAAGCCGCGGAGAGGATTGGCTTGAATTCGCCAGGGTGTTGTGCAAATCACTGAACAGCTGGCGCATGAACTAGTTCGTGTCTGCTTACTCGGTCCGTCATCGCCAAGGGTCTCGTTCTGTCTTCCAAGGACATCTCAACAATGGCTCAATCCACTTACCGGGATTTATCATATCTATGGGCCGTGGAAAGATACATTTGAAAATTCCAAAACGACAGCTCCGAAAGCTTCCATTCGAATGCAAAACGAGGAAAAAGTTTCGACAAAAGTTTTGGCGAGGATTTAGAGTCTTTCAAAAGACCTAAATTCGCAAAATTGCAAGAATTTGGGCTCACTTGGATGATTGGTAATAAGCATGGCAGTATGGTTGAAGTGACTTCCGTCATACATAAAAATGTAGCGAGAAGCTCCTCAGATAATTCAATACTTGCTGCGTTCGCCACCCCATATGGGTTCAGCCAGGCTGACGATCGCTGAGAAGGATTACTTGCACTTCTGGTGGTCCACATTCTCGGTGACGCAAAATCTCACATGAAATTGAAACTGCCTGATGTACTGCCACCTGGGATCTCGGGCGTGCACTTCAAGCTGCTCAATGGCCGCGATACTCGGCGATGGGCTGATCCAAGGGTGGGCACAAACGAACGCATTTTTCACGCTCACGTTCCACTTGGGCTGAAACGTCAACGAAACGTGAGTGGCACGTTTGCCTTTCCGTTTTCAAAGCTCAAACGCAGGGTACACGTTTTCATTACCGTTTGGGAAGTCCGGATGTATCACACAATTCCACGTTTACGTTTTCGAAACCCAAACGTGGTGCACGCAGTCGAGTTTCCGTTTTGAGTGGCATGAGCCCACCCCTGGCTCCAAGTGACCTGTAGTGCAGTGAGCTGGGTGAGTTTGCCAACCTTTGCCGAGAACTGCTCAAACATAAACTGCTTTGCAGGTCGTCAACGATGCCCATGCGCGGGCGTCTTTTCGTGAAAGTTTGGAAACGTAGCATTGCCCGACGTTTGCGACGACGTTCCAGTAACTGAATCGTTTTGTCAACGTCAGCGATTACGTTCTTTAAAGCCAAGCGCGCTGGGTAAGTTCCCGTTTCCCGTTTCCAAAACACAGATGTACGCTAGACGTCCGCGCCTTTGTTTGGAGAACCTAACGTTGTGCCCACGTGGGCGTATCCGATTGAGTGGCGTACGCCCATCCCTCGGCTGTTCGTTTTCGCAACATGCCAATCTTCTTCAGCGATCAGTGGCAGAGATACGCCACTTGTGCTTCAGGGCGCGGCAGTGAGTCCGTCACCCAGTATCTTGGAGGTGGCGAAGAAACCTGATGGCAGAGTTGTTTCCAGGAACGGCTGCCACAGCCACGCTTGGGGTCGGATTTAACGAGGGTGTTCCCAATACGGACCATAAGTACGGAGATGAGAAGGAAAGGAGACGGAGACGGAGACCCAGTACATACACACACAAAAACCTAAAGCCCAACCTCCCAATCCTGAAGCGTCTCTGTCTCGGCCACCGTCTCCTTATCGGGACACCCTAAAACCTAACATAATGGGGATGTTGCGGATAAGGACCATGAGGGCTGAGACGTGGCGGAGACGACAGGAACACAGAGGCCCAGTCTCCATCCCGGGCACCATCTTCGTACCGGAAAACTCTAAAACAGCCCTAAAAAGCGAACGCCCAAACTTGACACGTCTCCGTCTCCGTCAGCGCATTCGCGTTCTGTGTACAGAACATATTCCTCATTCGGGTACATCCTGTGCGGAACGCCGATCATAGCTTACACTGAAAATTAGATGACTATAATAATTACATGAGGTGGCGCTCCCTTTGGTCCAGAATTCAGCGGATGCACTGTGCAAACACATCATCAAGGCTCAAAACATCTTGTTGACAAGGGTGCAAGAAGAAGAAGACTACATCCGTGCAACGATTCGACTGGAAGGTCAACAGAATTATGTGCCTGCCCGAAACGTCGCTGCGACATTCAGCATACTAATGTTGGAGGGGCTGTGCGCTGCCTCGATGTGTCATTTTTCAAGGCGACAAGCCGAACTGATGGGTTGAGCAACGGGCAAGGAAACCAACGCAAAGCTGCAAGTGCACAAGCCCAAGAGTGGAAAACGACATGTTATGCAATTTTGCTGAGAAAGTCAGAGCAACGGGCGTGATGGGATCAGGCTGGCCATGCATAATTATGAGACCAAGGGAGGCCGTGGCAGACGGGGGTGCAACATTGAGGATCAGGTCATCGGCAGTAAGGGACAATGAACGCCACCAATGGCCATTTCATCCACGCACCATTGCATGCTCTGGTACCGGAGCAGCGAAAGTTTGTGGACATGTACCACATCAGAGCATTGAATGCAGAGTCAAACTGAAACTCAGCATATGAAGCCCGAAACCCTTGATCAGAAAATGAGTCAAGACGTTGACATGCTGCATATGTGGCACCTCATGGACAGCTGCAAGGAAGGCCATCTGAATTGGTATGGGCGTCAAAGATGACGTAAGAATAACCCAGAATGGGCTGCATATGCATGGACGTGTGGTGTCATCTCTTTTCTACTTTAATGTGTGATGGTTCTTATACTGTTTTCCAGTGGCACTTGTTGGATAGAATGGCGACATAATCTGTTTACTGAATAACATCGGAGGTGTTTTTTGTATTCCCATGAAGTGACGTAGATAGAAAAGACGTGGATGCGCCGGGTGAGTGACGTCCTATCGCTCGATTTGTCGTGATGCCAGCTGTTGGAAGTGCCGGAGATTTTTCATCGAATCTGATGGTTCAAAGTGTAAAGAATTGAAACGGCATTTTTTTTACAACACGAGCTGCTTGTTGTGCGGGGTTGATGCATTTTCTGCATGAGGATTGGGCGGGTGGATGGCAACAGCCTGCAAAAATTGGACACCTGTGCGGGCACAGGACTGGGAGGGAATCTGATGTGAACTCCCAGAGTCGATATGACATTTTAAGGATCAAAGGGTATTTGATGAGGCGACATGCACGAGGTTAGAGTGGGCTATTTTGGGTGGCTGCCGCAGCATGCGCGGCGTCGCAAGGTCGCGTTGCCCGATTCTGGAGGGATGCGCCGGAACGAATAACAGTTTCGTGAGCTTGCAAACACCTTGTTGGCGCTCTCTGAGGGTGTCGCTTTTGCACACATGTGTGACCTGTACAGGTCATGGCGTGTGGCCCGATCAGTCTGGCTTCAAAGCCAGTGGTTCTCGTTCCCAAACGTTCGGGTTTTGGCGCAGCATTCCCATGGCAGTCTCGTCGTTCGAGTTGCATGGGTTTCCGGGTGAATCTGCGCGCATCGCTGCGGTTTTCGTCAGCGTTCCTGTCCATACCGTTCGGTTTGCATGCGCCTGAATGCCCAGAGCCCATGGTCTGTTTGTGCCCGGGCTGGGGGTTTGAATCACCCCCATGCATGCAAAGTGGCGAGGCATCCCTAGTGCTGTTCCCTATTTGTCAGCGAACTCGGGCGGGAGACTGATGAACCTTTTCGGAGATGATCGTGCACAGGATGTCCTGGGGTCTGACCAGGATGTCGCTTCAATCCAGAACTGTCTGCATTTGTTCTCTTGTTGAAAACCCGCTTTGCCATTTGTTGGGGTTACGGTCAACGCACCCCAACCCACAGCACAGGGCGCCACTGAACCTGTGCGCTGAGCTCAGGCAGTCTACATTCCGCCAAACTTGGTTCCTTCCCTCTACAGTCCCCTCGCCCCACGTCCCCAGTCGCTGAAACCAGCCCCAACCCAAAGCGTCGGCCTGCCGTTTCGGAGCGACGTTGCCCAGAGGGCGGCGCGGCCGCGGCCGCCGGCGTGGGCAGTACAGAGCGTTGCTGCCGTGACCTTCCAGCAGTGCACCGCACGCGCTCGACTTCGTGGAGAAACAATCCCAAGATGACGGTCGGGAGGGGGCCGAATGGGCCACTGCTGCCGATCGCGGCCAAGTCTAATTTCCGTGTCTTTAGCATGCTTTTGCTGTCCGTGCTTCTGGGCGTGGCAACGGCGGGCGCGGAGGATTCGGAGGTGTACCTGCGCAGTCTGACGATCCACAAGACGCACGAGAAGGGCTGGAACGGCCGCAAGCCGGAGGTGTACGTGGCGTGCGACGACGACGGCAGGGACGACATCGACCTGCACGAGGTCAAGCACACGGAGACGCCCTACAAATGGGGGCCCGTGGACAAGGCCATCACGCACCTGGGCACGGGCCAGTGCCGGAGGTGCCGGCTGCGGGAGCGGGACACGTTTGACCCCGACGACACCTTTGGGGAGCTCCGGCTCTGCTTCGCGAACTTCTCGCGCCCGGAGGGGATCTACGAGGCCGCCGTGGCGGGGGAGTTCGACGCCAAGTTCCAGTGCCTGGGCTGCGTGGCGCCCGATGAACCCACGGTGTCCGCGTCCACGTTCGCATCAGCGGGCGGGGCAAACTCCAGCTCCGCTGCGAGCGAGAGCAGCCAGAGCAGCCATTCGCATTCCCACCGCGAGATTGGAGTCCAGGTGAGCTCGAACGACTCTGCAACCAGCTCATCCTCTTCGGCGTCCGCACCAGGGATTGAACTCTCAGCCACTGCGACCACAGCTTCGGCTGGGGGGCCGTCGACGGAATTGGCCGGCGCGGCGCCGGCCCACTCTGCCCGGCACCACGAGGCCAAGGTTGGCAGCGCGATCGCGGCGGGGTTGCTGTGCGTGATGGTGGGCGTGGTGGCGGGCATCGTGGCCTACCGGCTGCACCAGGCGCAGAAGCACCGGCGGGAGGAGGAGAGGATGAGGGAGCTGGACGCGATCCTGGGGGACCCCACGGTGGACTTCGAGCAGATGGCGGCGCAGGACGGGAAGGCATTGGGCTGGAACTTCAGCCGGCTGTGGAGGACCGGGCAGCAGATGTGGACCAGGGTGCCTGAGAAGGCGGAGATGTCGCCTTGAGGAGAGGGTGTGGGCGGCGGTTTGTCGGTTTGGGCAAAGCCGTTTCGATGGGTCTCGGAGCTTGGGAGGGTTGACTGGCAAGCATTGACTGGTGCCTTTCTTCCCTTATCATCTTTTCCTGGCCGCAGTGTGAGGGACAGCGAATGGTGTTGACTCAAGGGCGCACCCCTGTGCTGGTTGCCCCACGCAATATGCTGCGGGGGAAGGCAAGCACACGTCCGGTTTGAGGCATGAGAAAATGCAGCTGGGCCCAGTCACCCAGCGGCCTTGGCTGCAAGCAAGGGTGTTGTTGGCAGACATTGACTCTGGGGGACAGTGTTCAGAGCACTGTTGTGCTGCACGGCATGCAGTGGGTGTTCCCTGCCAACGAATGCTGCCTGGACCTGCGCTTCAGCAAAGGAAGCACTCCGAGCAGCAGGCTCAGGTCTGCAGTTTGCAAGCAGAGCATGCTTTGTATCAAGTGCCAGTGGCTGCCGATGGCAGGCAACAGCTTGGGGTTTGCACCTTTGTGTCTAGCACTATATTTGAGTGTGACAATAATTCTTTGTGGCAGAGACTCACGGCCAGCTGGCATTGGGGATTGTGCAAACAATGTACTGTGTGAATAACCCTACATAGCTGGCAGGGAACATTGCCTGCAATTTGATCCTTTTCCATTTGGCCTTGACAAGCTCGATCCACTGTTCCAGTTCTGGCACGTTTTCTGCATGTGCAGAACACCTTGTTTGCTGGCAGTCTGGTGCATTGTTTGTTTCGTGCATGGCTTTGCTAGAATATTGTTTTTCCAAGATCATTTTGTGCAATGCATTTGGAGGTATCTGTGCACATCAATCTTCTGGCACTGTCACTATTCTGGTCCCAACAACAAGACATACAGGCAGGATGTCCTGACTGCACGTCTGCTTTGTCTTCATGGCACGTGCTGTTACGCAGCTTCCCAAATGTGCCAGAAATCTTTTCATTACTTGTCAATTTAGAATGAAGTCCAAATTATTGTCCTGGTAGTGGATTGTGCAGTGTTTGGTATGGTTTCTTCCCATGCAGGAACATCTAGACATCATCATGGCCAACTGCCATATTCACAAGCTCCAGTTGACTGCATATGAAGCAGTGTTATCATCATGCACACCGGGCTCGTGCTATGACCGCACATCTTTCGAAGAACTTGATGCCAATATGTGCAGGCGTTCAAGCTTCACAAGAGAGTGTATAAAGTCCATTCGTACTGGCGTTGTGATCCATTGTGGCAACAGTCAATTTGCCCCTGATTGCGTCGTCATGGATGCTTGGCTGTTCCCCATGGTCCAGCTTTCGTTGGTAAACTTCTTTTCCAGGCTTGGGAAAGTGTGAACCCGTAGGCCACAGCCGTGTCCTAGTTTCACATCAAGTTGCAATTCTTCGAACATGGCATTGCCAAAAATGTGGGTTGCAATCCAGAACCATTCAAGTCGTTCTGTTCTCAAGCCGACCTGTGTTGGGAGCAGATGTAATTTGCATGCCAGTGCCTGGAGTGCGCAGTGTGGACTCTAAATGATGCAGCCGTCTTTCTGTGGAAATTGAGCCTGAAGCAGTAACGAGCCCATTCTGGAGCTTTCCAAAGCATTTGCTATTCCTTCGCTGGTGCTCTCAAAGTAGTGGCAGATCGCGACCTTTGGCCCTGCAACAATCACGGTGGTTGCTCGTTATGTCTTACTGAATGTTGTTGGTTCCTTCTCGTTCACAAAACCACAGGTGCATTCTTCACCACACTAGGGAAGCCACTGTGTCGATTTCGGTACACGTTTAGCGTCAATTTGACGCGCAGGGTGGGGGATGGGGGTAAGGATTCCAGACCTTTGACACTGGAGATTATGTAATAGCCACAAAATCGACATCAGCAGGAAAGGTACTGTTAAAACCATGCCCAGCATCATCCAACAGGCGATGGCACAACATCGGAGTTTCCACCTGACCGGTCTCCAGAACCCTCCCGGTCATGTTTCCCACACGACAAGACATTACAACAAAGGTGTCCGTCACCAACAACTCCACATACCCGAGGTCCCCGTATTTAACAGTTTGCTTTTTCGCTTCGCCCATACTACTCTTCACTTTTCTCCCGTGACTTGACCCTGAGTCGGGCCCCTTTCCCGTACTTCCGTCCACACCATCCCTTTCTCTCCCTCAACTCAACCGAAAACCACCCTCGAGGGCGGGAGGGCTGGGTGCGAAACAAGATAGGAGGGGGACCGAAGGGGGGGCCTAAATAGCCGCCCCCGCTCAGCCCGCCAAAGCCCGCCAAGTCCAAGAGCGCCAAACTGACGGCACCTTGGAAACTACGTACTTTGACTGACCCAAGGGACTAGAGGGGCCAGAAACCCGTTTGAATACAACTGCGCCCGATTTGAATCTCGGCGCAGCCCACCCAACGTCGTCCTTGGTGGAAATGTGCAATACGAAGTGATCGCGGGTCAGTGGGAGAGTGGCAAACGCCGGTTATTCTGCTGTGATGGGCGTGTTGCCACCAGCGCTTTGGTAAGGAGATTGGAAGAAGGAGGACAAATGTTCGATGAATTACTGAAAGCGCGGAGTGGAGCACCGGTCAGTGTGCCATGGGCGTTGCCTGATGTGTTTGAACGAGTTTTGGCGGGGCACGTCGACTCATCTTTAGGGTGGAGGTGAGGGCGCGTACTGGAGGGGTTTTGAAGGCATGTCAGTCCCATAGAGCACTGTTGCGTGTACGAAGGGATTTGCAACGCAGTGGTCATCATCGACCGAGCCCAAGTTTTTGGCTTTCATTTGCGTTAATGGGATTAACTATCTTGTTAAGGGGTTTCCGCCCAGGGTGACGAGGGGCGGGTGCGCTGGCCCAGTCGGGCCAGCGCTGCTTCAGTACACCGTTTTTGACGGCCCCTTGGGGTTTCTGTCCCCCTGTACCTTGGGTCAGTGGCCAGTTCGGCGCGTTCAAGGAGAGCCAGTGGTTTTTGGCGCCCTTGGGAGCGGCGGGCTTTGGCGGGCGCGAGCGGGGAGGCTACTTAGGCTCACCCCTCGGTCCCCACCTTATCTTGTTTCGCTTCGCGCCAACTCTTTGGCACAACCCGGACCCACTGAGTGGGTCTCGACCTCCGGCTCTTTGCCGAGTTCTTGCCTATGAACCCGTCCCCTGCAGAGCAGTGGTGCCGGGAACAAGCTCGCCGGTTCAACAACCGTATTCCGAGCTCCGCTATCGAAGCCTGCTGGTTGCCCGACCCGGCGCTACTCCCCCAGTCCGTCAACAACCCGGTCGCCCGACCGGTGGGCGCCCGTTCGCCGTACTGGTTCGACGTCCGCGACACCGCCGAGGGGAGCGCGGTCGCCGCCTCTTTGGGCGCCAACTCCGGGTACTTCCAGGAATACGCGGGCTGGGCTCCTCCGGTCTCCTGGCTGTTCGACACGACCGCGGCCTTTGTGGAGGTGTCCGCCCATCCCGATCTCCCGGCGTCCGTACGGGAATTCCTCCTCCCCTACCTTTACTCGTACGTGGAGGTCACCGAAGCTCTCCACGACCAGCTCTCCTTGCAGCGCATCCACGCCAAGCACAAGGGCTCGGGCCTGGAGGGATCGTGGCGGGCCATTCAGGCGGAGATCCGCCTTGCCGACCGCGGTCTGCGCTTCGGCACTGCTCGCATCGACGGGACCATCGAGCGCATGCGCAAGGAGCTTCTGACGCAAGAATTGAAGCACGCCACCAAGACCGCGGCCGCCAAGAAGTCTACCTCCCCCCCGTCGACCTCGGCCCCCTCGACCGGCCCCAAGGCCCACAAGGGATCTCGCCCTCCGGGCCCCTCCCCCAAGCCGGCTCCGTGAAGGACTTCCCGTACAATCGAGTCCGCGGACGCCTTTCGGCATGGCGTCGCATCGTCGCCCCCTCCCGTATCCTCCAATGGATCCATTCAGGGACTCCGCTCCTGTGGGGCCCGCGTGGACCGCCGGCGCCTTTCGGCGAGGGCTCCTACCCGCTCCGCTCCCCGGAGGAACGGACGGCATGGCAATCTCTCCGAGCGGACTACCTCTCTTCGGGCGCGATCACCAAGGTGGAGCCGGACCCCACTTCGCGCATCTCTCGGGCCTTCCTGGTGGCGAAGGGGCGAGAGGATGGAGTCATGAAGTACCGTCTTTGCATCGATCTGCGACGGGTCAACCGTCACCTTCGCAAGGTGGGCCTTCGGTACGAGAAATTACGTGATTTTGGTCATTTACTCTGCCGGGGTGACTCATTGGTAGGATTCGATATAAAAGATGCTTATCATCACCTGCGAGTGTATTGGGCGGAGGAATGTTTCCTCCAATTTCGCATGGGTGACGAAGTCTTTGCTTGTCGGGCTCTTCCGTTTGGGCTTTCTCTAGCCCCTTTCTTTTTCACACAATTTATGCTTGTAGTGGGCCGTTTCTTGAGGTCCCCGGGCAGCTGCACGAAGGCAGCGCATCCTTTCCGTTTTGGGTGTTTAGCGGGGGATGATGCAATCGCTAGTTACTTTTGGATTTACACCAAGGAACCCCCAGTCATTTTGCTGGCGTACCTTGATGATTTTTTGGCGGCTATGCATGATGCCGCCCGTTTGACCAAATGGTCCGGTTTTGTGCGGGGTGTTTTTGCATCTCTGGGCATTCAATTCAAGGAACGCAAATGTCAATGGACTCCCGTCCGGCGAAAGAAGCATTTGGGGGTGATTGTGGACACCGCCCATTGCCGGTTTGAGGTCCCGCCGGAAAAGGCCGCATTGGTGGCCCATCAGGCCCGCCAGTTGCGCTCATGTCGCTGGGTTGTGGCCAGGGATTTGGCCCGTTTCTGTGGCCTTGCCATTTCCTTGTATTTGGCTTTCCCGTTGGCTCGCTTTTTCTTGCAAAGCCTCTATGCCGTGCTGCGTTCCAAGCGCAGTTGGCGGGATCGGCTGGTTCTCACTCCCCAAGCCCGCTTGGACTTGGACGCGTGGATCAACATCCATCGCTGTGAGGGGCGCCCGCTCAACCCCGACGCACTCCCCTTCGCTGGCACGCTGGCCACGGATGCCAGCCTCATCGGTTGGGGGGGCACCTTTGCCCCCCCGGGTGTGTCCCGCCCCCTCCTTGCGAGGGGGTTTTGGGACCGTTCCTTGATGCACATCAATGTGCGTGAGCTGCAGGCGGTGGAGCTGGCCATCTGCAGCTTTTTTCCGGATACTTCCCATGGCCTTCCTTCGAGACTCAAACTTCTGGTCGACAACCAGGTAGTCATGTACTACCTCCGCAGCATGACTACACACTCCAAGCAGCTCCTCCGCCCCCTTCGCCAGCTTCACCAGGTCTGCTCCACCCGCCACCTGTTACTCGACCCGGACTACATCCGGTCGGAGGACAACGTCATACCGGACCGCCTGTCACGGTTCCGGGTGGCGGACGACTACCAGCTCAATCCGGCCATCTTCCGCCGGCTGACTTGGCGTTTCGGTCGCCGGACGTGCGACCGCTTTGCTTCCGCGGCCAATTCCCTTTGTCCAAGGTACAACAGCCTGCACGCGGACGTGGGGAGTTCGGGGACGGATGCCTTCCTCCAGGACTGGACGGGGCAAGCCAATTGGTGCAACCCCCCGTGGTGCCTTCTTCCCCGGCTCGTTTCCTTCCTCGCCGCCCGGCCCGCCGTGGAAGCCGTCGTCGTCGCGCCGGATTGGCCGAGCGCGCTTTGGTTCCCGCCGCTCCGGACTCTTGCGGCGGAGGAGCTTCTGATTCCCCGCCATCCGGGCATGTTTCGCCCCGGGGATCCGAGTCTTCCGGCGCGGCTTCCTCCGCCGAAATGGAACCTACGGGCGTTTCACATCCGCCCTTGGAGATCTCCCTAACCGCGGGGGCCCGGTCCCCCTCCGCGGAGCCCGACCTTCCTCCGGATGACCCGCTGCCGGTGGAGCCGCTGCCGGTGGATCACCCCCTCTACGGGTTGGATGTGGACGGATTGCTGCAATCGGACTCCGCGTGGATGCAGTCCCAGTTCCTCTCTTTCTACATGGAGTCGACGCGGCGCTCCATGCAGGCCAAGTTCTCCAAATTCCAGGCATTCTGCACCTCCGCGGAGCTCCAGGCCCTGCCCGCCCGCCCGTCTACGATCTACCGCTACATCCGCTTCTTGCGGGAGGAGGGCCGGGTGGGCGTCCGGAGCCTTCCCCAGTACCTGGCCGCCATCTCCATGGTGCACCAGGTGGCCGGGCACGTGCAGTTTTCCGCCTTCGACCGGGTGACCCGTTTGCTCACCCGGTCTTGGCGTCGTCAATGCCCGGAGCCGGCCTCCTCCCATGCGCCGGTACCGGCTACCTTAATGCTGCGCATCTTGGAGCGCGGCCTGGTTACGGAGGACCTGCAGTTGTTGCGGGCGTCGGTCTCCGCCCTCCTCGATTTCGTTTTCTTCAACCGGGCCCAGAGTGGCCATTTCATTATGCTACCGGACGTGCGGGTGGCGGACGGCGTCGTTGTCTTCCGGGAACGCAAGACCAAGCTGAAATGCGACACGGACCCCGCCATCCGCCTACGCTCCTGGCCGTCCCAGGGGGCCCCCGAGCTGGTGGATCTCATCCTTCGCTAGAGCGCCTTTCGGGACTGCGCCTGGGCGGACGCGGGTGGCACCCCGACGCATTTCTTCACCCTCCCCGGTGAGCGGGACCCGTCCGCCCGCACGGTTTCGACCTGGTTCAGGGACCTCTTGGCTTCCTCGCCGGATCTGCACACCGGCGCCTTTGATCACCACGGCCTGCGCGCGGGTGGAGCGTCGGCCTGCTTCGCCTTAGAGGTGCCCGAGCAGCGCATCCGCCACTGGGGCGACTGGCGTAGCGCTGCCATGTGGCGGTACATCGATGTGTATCGACTCCCATCGGAATGGGATTACCGTTTCTTCGGGTGGATGACGATTACCGCCCAAGACTTGCATGAGAGGTATGGCCACATCTTTTGCTCCGGAGGAGCTTCGTGTGTCCGAGGGTGACTGGGCACACAAGTTGTGGGTACCTCGGGTTGTATTGGGAGAAACAATGTCTTTGTAATGTATTGGTCCAGTGTGTGTGTGGACCTAGGCGGGACAAGGAGCCCGGCCCGGCGGAAACGCAAAGACAAAGCCTGTGTCCTATGTCCCATACATGGCGACTGACAGGGAAAGCTATGACACGCAGTCGAAATGTTTTTTTCCGTTGGCGCCAAAAGCCGGGGCACGTGCCTGCACTGTGATGTCCCTTGTAGTGATCATCGCTGATCCGATCATCGCGAAGTACCACCATTCTCACCGAATCAGCTGGCCTAACACATCAGCATCACCACCGCTACTGGTGCGTGCTGGGTGTTAATGTGACTAATCAAAAATTGTGTCATTTCCTGAGGTAAATCACATCAGTTTTATCATTAAAATTAAGTCCAAGTTTAATTCGGGTCTGAAACGTTCGTGAAAGCGTCAATGAAAGTGGTGCAATTACTGGAATCCACTGTCTGGTTGCCGTCCATCGACGTCCTAACACCATTTACTCTGCGTTCACTATAAACGCGGTCAGTACCTCTGGCAATATTTTCTGCATTTACAGCAAATTTATTCGCGACCAAATTGCTGCTGTGTGTGTGCGCCAATATCTCGGCTGGGCCACAGTCGTAGGTTGCGCTATCGGTGCAGTTGCGCGAAATGTTTGCTACACATCCTGACACGCATTTGAAGTGTTAGTCAGGACTTGATTGATTGATGAGTAGACACCTAGTATCTCTATGCGTTAAGAAGACTTTTCAAGGTGGATTTCGTAAATCTTCTAGGTTCTGTCAACATCCATAGGAGTCAACGCCATCCAGACTCGTTACGGGCACCTCGGGGTTAAGCGTGTGCACATGAGGAGTGGAAGTTACGGAGCCCAGGGGCCCCGGGAGTCCACGTGGATAATGACGCATGTGCACACATTTGGTGGCAAGTTGTGCATGTCATTCTACTATACCTGGCCCGGAACGAGCCACAAGACGGGGAGGGAGATGGCGGAGACGCAGTGGGCTTGCCTGGTGGCCATGGCCGCGGCAGCACCTGTGAAAACAACTGTGGAGAGCATGATGAAATGATGGACCCCGGTGGAAGGGCGGATGGCCATGCGTTGTAAAACACGCAGCAATGCTTATATTCCCGGAACTAGGGAACTGAACGCCAATCTAGGTGGTTTATTGCACATGGATTGAAAAAGTGGAGGGCTTGGAATCATGGCCCCAGTTTAATGCACCGGCAGGCTGTGCTGCTGCTGTTGCATTTGGTAGGAGCCGTGGAAGTCAGTGCAGGCATGTCTATGTAAGGGAGGTGTTTCTTGGAGTTTAAGTTCCGTTTCTCCAGTAACTGAATAACCGCAAATACCTTTACTGATCCCTGATACCCCAAATCTTAGTCTTTTGTCTTTTCTTAGGAAGCACGGCTTTGGTAATCGCGATTGCCGGTGGATTTCTCAGGATTCCACAAAATCCCCACACAAAATATAAATTCATAGTCGCTTAGCCAGATTTTCTACCTCCACATTCACGATACACATGTCGATGCAGGCCCAGCATTCAAATAGAATCTAACAGTAAGTTTATTCATTTGACTTCAAGATAAGCACATCGCCATACGAATAGCATGTAATTTTGCATGTGGCCAATGCATCATTGCGAAGGAAAACAATGTTACATTATATACACAACATACAAGAGGATATCCATACCTGACACCCTTCGACTGCCAGCCCAGGTAAGAGTTTTCACCTGGCGTTCAGGCATTGAAATGCATGCATACTCCCCATATTGCGTTGCTCACAGGAATCGCATTGATCGTGGCTGCGGAGCTTTCCCATTGAAGTGCGCACTTCCAAATCGTTCCTCGCCGTCTGAAGAAGCGACATAGGCATGCAAAGTAGAACCATCGAGGACTCAAACTCAACGGTTCCCGTCTGGCAGAGGGCTGAATACATGAAGCATTTTGGTTTCCAGACACCTCTTGCATAGTGCACATATGTCCTTGTGCTCAATTCGGTAGTTGTTATCAATTCATATCTGATTCAAAAATTCCCCTGCCAAAGCGTGGCGTCACATTTTGAGTCCGAAGAGCATTGAACCGAGCCGCGGCCTGCACCACAGCCTCGTTTACCATCTCATTGAACTCTTCCGGAGTTTTGAAAGGTGGGTTCTCGCTCCCGCTGGCAGACCTCAAGGCAAGCACCTCGTAGTCAACTCGAGGCACCGTCACCCCCACGGGTGCAAGAGCGAAATTCCAGAACATCGCGCCCATCATTGGCGGCCCAGCTTCAGCCAAGCGGTAGCCCACATCGAACACCTGCGGTTGAAGAGTAGCAGTGTCTTTTTGTTTGACGATTTTCTATTCAATCAGCACCAACGAATGTCTCTTACTGATTGCATTTGCTTAATTGTCAAAATGACAACAGCCCCATTTGACTGCATCTGAAAATTCAGTAGGCGTTGGTGCTGTATTGATAGGCCCTTGCATCATCGTTACTCTCTATACACGTGCTCTGAAGTTTAGTTGTGATCCACGGGCTTATCAGTGTTGCATCAAAATCCACTAAACTCCCGGATGTATTTCAGGGCTTGCAAGCGGGATCGCTGATGCAGCATCGCCACAACAATGCTTGCTTGGTAGTGTTGCATCAAGATGCCTTGTTGGTGGGTTGATAAACGCCGACGCCACAGAGCATTGTTTCAAGTGCAGTTCACCGCTGTTGATGGTCATTTTTTCACTGACCTCCTTGCACCAAACCCCATCAACACTGCGTCAACGCCAACCGAATTTCAGGATGTGTGGAAGTTCGAATAAAACGCTCATGGCTACCGACAAACCAATTTATCAATCATATACACTGCAGCGCTAATGTCACATAGTATGTGCATGTGACGGACTCGGGGCTCTCCGTATCACGCCCACTTCCAGCAGCGTGTACCACTGCCAGTCACAAACGCCGTGCCAAGCAAACAAGACCTGGCTTCATTAACAAGTAAGACGTAATAAGCGATCCTCACAAATTGCTCCCAAAAGGATGCAACACTACTGTGCGATGCTTTCAATTAACAGGATGCAAATGCTCAAAAAGTTCATAGCTGCTTCTGCCTTTCGCGAGCCTGTACCTCGCCCGCTCGAAGACAAAATTTGAAAATTTGATTCCCAATTGGAACTACCAAATGTTCCTTTCCTAGCGTCGTCGCATAGGTTCACCTTATTGAAGTGGGCCACCCGGCCCAGCCCGTTCAGCCTCTTCCCGAACTCTGTGAGCACGTATGGCTTGCCGAGCCGCGAGGAAAGCTGGGAGTGCCGCTTGATCCACAGATCGGTGAACTCCGCCTCCTCTTCCTGGCCGCGGCTGTCCACCCCCCAGTTGTCCGGCCACAGGTGGGCGCAGGTGAAGTCCGCCTCGGGAATGTCGTAATTGTCGTAGAAGTCTGTGCCCTCTTCCGCGGTGTTGTAGGGGTTCTCTTTCATCAAGTCTGTGGCACCTCATGGGGCACAAACTTACCCATGCTCAGTGCGGCTTGTTTATAAACAAGCCGCGTGAAGTGTGGATGGTGCTGTACGGATCGACCAAATACTTTGAACATGGGATCTCATCAACTTCAATTTCGCAAAATGCTGTAGTACTTGCAAATAACATCGCGCTTCCCGCCGCGCCATACACACCATCTAGCATGCAGACAGTTCTGCAGGTCAACCATTCGCTGCTCATGAACCTCGCAAATTGTTGAAGTTCATATCGAAATAGGAAATTCTGTGATGTCGAGAATTCCCGATCTTATTCGAATAAGACCACAAGAGCCTCTGGGTCTTAGCATGAAATGGTGCAGACAGTTACTGCATACATCAGTAAATTTGCGGCAGTTGTGGGGAATTTGAAACACTTACGCACCAATGCGAGAACTTGAAATCACTGAGCAAATGTTCCCAGCAGCTGTAACTGCTCAAATTGCCCCTATTGGCCCTGGAAAGTATCTGAAGGTTCCACCTCACCTACGCACATTCTGGCATGAAAGCTGCCAGTTATTCATCCGATGATACTGACTGCTATGCAGTACATCAATTTTGTAAGCGGCAGCATCAAAGATTGCAGTGCCGTCAAACCATACACCTTAAATTTCCATTACCGAAATAAGAATGTCGTACCTGGAGTTGTTGGGCCATAGAATCCTTCCGCCCCGTGGGTGACCAGGTGGTTGCCGTCCAGGCTCTTAGCATGCTTGCATGCCGCCCTCAGGAATCCCTTCACGCACAGCACATGCACAGAAACATCAGCATGCCGTCGCATGTAACATAAAAATAAAATAAAAGAATAAAAAAATAAAGAGTAAAAAAATAACTACTTTATATCATCATAGTGTCATGCTATGAAGACGATAGTGCTCCTATGAGGTACATGTTCGGAGATTACCACATATTGTTATATTCTCACATGCCCATGGTCAGAGCTCTTTGAATTCTGGAATCCAAACTTATGTCCATTGGTGTGACGCGCTGTCAAGATGAGGAGAAGAACAGCAGGCGTCAGAGCGGCATTATTAATCCCGGATCGCTCCCGCCCTTGTGGTGGTGCCAGCTGCCGCAATGTACCTCAAGCACGCAGCAGGATTCGTCGCCTTTGCACCTTGGCTCGTTGGCTATAGACCAAGCCATTATCGCTGGATCATCCCTGTGCCGCACCACACAAGAGGACACTAACGCAAATATCCTCCCCATGCTGGGCCCCCCCTCTCCCCAAAAAACAAACTGTACTATTGGTGATATGGAAATAATAAGCAGCAGATCAAGAGTTGCAGCAATTCAAAAGGCTTGCTAACTCATCGGAATAAGACCAGGCGGCAGCCAGTGCTGATGTCCAGAGCTCCTGTGATCCTTTTAGGCGCCATTTTAGACTCCATTCTTTTAGGCACCACTTTGCGACCTTTTCTAATTGCATAAATAATTTCTTTTGAGATTCCGAAGCCTTGGAAAGATAACGAAAATGCCCGCTTGGGCAAAATAGATGATGCAAGGGCAGCATGCGGGTGGCACAGACATGGATGCTTAATTTTGCCTGGCAAATTGGAGCAACATCCAATTTTGCTGGCCCATGCAAACCACGGGACACCGTATCGCCCTGGCTGGAGTGATCGATTAGGCAGCAAGTCCATGCAGAAATGCGGTTCAGTGTTCCTGTAGGCACCAAGTTCGCCTCAATGTGGATATGCGGGCATTCCTGTCATGCAACTTGGCGATATTTTAATTACAGGCATCAACAGCACTGCTTCCTCGGCCAACACACTCACATACAGATATTTTTTTCTATTCCATGCACAATAGGCTTGTTGTTTGCGTCTGCGTTTACGTATTTACGTTAAGGTTTCTGCACATGAAAACATAAATTTGCAAAAGGGGCTACTTTGCATTTTTATTTATGCTTTTGCAGCTCGTTGTGACATTCAGGCCACATGATGAAAGTCGCGTACAGTCATTAGTACTCGGCCCCCTCGAGAGCCTACAACATAGCGTCCACTTCGCCCTCTGCAAGGGCAACAATGGCGAGGAACAAAAGTTCGGTTTTTGCCTATCCCAGCATGTCTGGCTACCACTCGCGAGACTCCCTAAGTCTGTGTGTACTGCCTTTAAGCAAGCTTTCGCGGGGTGAGTGACATGGATAGAAACTGATGCCAACTACATTGTATTTAGCCGATTCAGCTGAAATTTTGATAGTATACTCTCACTCGTGTGTCTAGTTGTGAATGATTTTTCAGAGAAACAAAAGTTATCCTGTGGTGAAAACAAAGTGCTAAAAGAGATGACAAAGGAAGTATTTATCATCATTTCTGTACATATTCAAAAAAATCTTTGCGTCGTAGTCTCGTGGCCACCGGCGCTACAGCCACCAGACTTGCCACTCCTGGCATTGTTGATTTGATTTTGTGTCATGTGATGCCACGACACGCTGAAAACGTGGATGCAGTAGAAATACTGATGGCATGCTGCAAGAATGTTGCTGTGCTGCTGTGAAGCAACAGTCAGGCAGCGATGGCGCTCAAGGCAGGCAGGCCTTATTAGCAAGGATGCACCATTGATAAAAAATTTTGCCCACCAACGCGGCAACAGCCCAACTGCGCCTTAGATCAGGAACAATGCAGCAACACTTTCCAATTGCTTAGAAAATACATCTTCGTCATGATTATACTTGAGCATCAATTTTTAGTTAAAAGTAATGAGTTGTAGGCAATTTCATGTTGATTATTCATGTAATTATATTCAATTACGGCAAATTTGCTGCTCCGTGGCTTAGCTAGCCCTGGGTGAATCCACATGATCAATACTTGTAAGCTATGCCGGTGATGGAGTTTGTTCGCGAAATTATGGCCGTCATGTAGTCCATGAACATCTGAACAGCGCCCGAGCAGCTGTAGAAATCCTCCGTTTTGCTTGGCTCCGTCCCCAGCGCCCACCTGAGCAGCTCACAGATGTTGTTGGCAGGATGGTCATTCCCACGTCACCAACCAAAGACACCTTCGACGAGCACAACAAATGCAGTGACGGAATCGTGCAGCTTTCGAAATGTGGTGCTTGAAACAGTGGAAATTACAGGAAGAATATAAGATCAAAGCGTGAAAGTCATGAAGAAAATACGATGGGTAAGACAGCAACAATACTTCATTATTATCATCAGAGATAGAAACAAGGCAGTCATGTAATTTTACCATGCGCACGTGATCGCGCTGGTTGGCACGTGATCGCATTTGGTTCAAGGGCAATGATGCCTAAAGGACTAAGCATTACCAGAAATGCACAACCACCCTGCTGCAAAGTTGTGCAAGCATTAACATACCGCACTTACACATCAAAATATGATCCAAATGCATTTCAGTGTTAGCCTTGCGGCGATTTCTGCCCAGGCGCTAGCTCGCAACTCAGAGGACTGGGTTGGGCCTACCCACTTGGCGTACTGGAACATTCCCCCGTAGTCTCTCCAGTAGTTTATAAGCACGGGCAGCACCTTCATGCCGCGCTTACCGATCTCAGCGATCACGAAGTCTAGACCCTCAAGATAATTTTCACTCAGCACACCTGAGAATCGCGCCGGATTTCAGCATTTGCGCAACCCGCCCTCTCTCCCCCTTCCAAATCGCCATCACCAGCATTTCAAGCAGACCCACAGAATTAGGGAGTAACTGCATTGTTTGCATCTTTCATAGAACAGTCAAGATTCAGACCTGGTAGTTCCGTAGAACAACATGCACACGGAATTCATTATGGGTCACTCAACACATTTCAGTTGACATCACTCACAGTGGATGTTTTACGCCAACAATGGCTGATGTTGGTGCAGGTGAGCGCCGCAACAGGCGCAAAGTGGAGAGCACAGAAAAATAACATCGAATGAGATTGCATTATCTGTCCGTTTACGGCACTTGCTACATCATCTATACACGATTTTCAGCAGTACATGCAAAACAAAAATACACTAAGAAATCGCTTTGCAAATGTGCAGCTCTACCCCCGCATTGTCAAAAAAACTGCTGCAATGCAGGAAACGAGTTCCCGACGCCACAGGGCCCACTTTCGAGGACATCCCCAACACAAAACGGACAAAATAATATTCTTGCGAGGTCTTCATTTCACTGCCAATAAACACATGTACATGTGGCGTAACATTTTGCGCCCCTGCCGACCTGATCTCTGTGGCTTCATTTGATTGAGCAAGCACGGAGATTGAGCGAAATTTTTGTGCGTTTATGAGGTGCCGTTCGAAATGAAGGGCGTGTGCTGTCTTCCCGGTGCATCGTCCACGCCCACCTGGCGCCGTCTGAAGGCCGCCCGGCCCGTCGAAGAAGGCCCACGTGCGGATGACGCTCAGGCCCATGTTCGCGCAGATGTCCAGGAGCTCGGTCACGTTGGCCCTCTGCCCCGTGGACGCCAGGATCTGCGCACGGCGCTCGCCGATGAATGACAGGGCCGCGGCAAGTGGATAATACAAGTGGATCACCAGCAGGAAATGACGTTATCAGCTGTGGATGGCTGGGGATGCCATTTTGACACGAAGCGGCGCCACCAATGCGATTGCCAGGGAATCCCTGCAAAGTGGACGTGGTGGCGTGAATAAGTGTCTATTGGCATAGCAGCTGGCATCCCCATATGCCGTTCTCCCCTGGTGAATCCGGTGCTCAAAAATCCGACAGCGACAGCAAAATTGTGCTGCATTGGAATTCATGGCCGCCGCGCGTCATCCATAAGGACGGATCCGCAACGAGTCCCGCTGCAACCCGCGAGGCCGCGCCCCCGGGCGCCATCCCAACGCCAGCCCGCCGCCGCCAAAGCAGTGACTGGAACTGACAAACGCGACGGCCTGCCCTCGCGGAGGCCCCCCCATTCGCGCCCATTGCCGGCAATCGCCTGCGGACCGCGCTGTCGGCAATTCGAGACATCCGACCTGCTTGGCTCGGGCAAAATAGGAACATGAAGGCAACCCCATTGCCTTGTTCTGCACCAAAAAGCTGCTGCTGCTGATGGTGATGATGTTGATGATGCTGAATGCCGACCTGCGTCGTGATCTCCCGAGAGTCCGGTCCGAGATGGAAACGCGCGGAACTCCCCCGTGCGCCGCCCCGAACGCGCCGGCGCCAGCGCTGTGGCGCTCGAGCAGGCGGCGCCCGTCGATTCGCGCCGCCGTGCCGCACCATGAGGTCGTAGGAGTTCGCCCCCACGAAGTAGAACGGCCGGTCGCCCAGCGTCAGCCGCCCGCCGCTCACTTTGACGAAGTCGGACATGGCTCCCTGCCGCAGGCTGCGCAGCGCGAGGGCCAGCAAGAGGGCCGCGGCGCAGGCCAGAACGGAGCGGCGAAGGCGTGCGCCTCCGGGCGCTGCTGAGAAGGAAGGTTGGTCGATTGCGTGGAGGTCTTTAGCGACATGGAACGGGCGATTCGGGTTGGGCTTTCGTGGCCCAGGGCCGCGGGGGGCGGGGCGCCCAAGGTGCGGGTACGGTTTGGAAACCGTACCTCGCGTTTCCCTCCGATTTGGGAGTCGCAGGTCGCGCTTTCCACCGACCTTGCATGGGTACGGGATATTGCTTGGTGGAATTCCTGGGAGCCCAAACCCCCTTTTCACCACCACACGTCGCACAACGGCGGCTTTCGTGGCGAAAACCTCGCCCGCATGCTGTGAGGCGGTGTCAGCACCGCGTCAAGAAACATGTACTGCAAAATACTCTACCCTTCCACACCAAAAATTTAGCGTTACGCTTTTTGCTCCGCATTCTGATTTTCACAGCGTTGTTTTATCTGTTTTACACTGTTCGGCAAGAAAAAGGCCAAACTTTGCGTTGCTGCTTTGTTAGTTTTTCTCTGCAAAAAATGCCAAGCGTTATGTTATTATGCGGAGGGGTTGAATGTATTACGGGACCTGCAGGAGGCGCTGTGCCAGAAACTGCTTCTTTGCTTGTTACCGTGGCATTGCGGACGCTGATTCCATTCCATCTCGACATAGCGAACTTGCATGCATTTGCTTAACCCATGCTTGCATCTGTGCATTGCAATTGTTATTCACAGTTTGTTGAACACATTTCGTGGATGGGGTCCTTTCTCCTGGTAAGAGTGCACGTGACAACTATCCTACATGGCGAAAAATGAATGGGAAGCATTGGTCTGAAAACCGCGAAGCCAGTCTGTCTCACCAGGGCTCACTGCACAAAGCGGATATAGTGTTTGATTCATGCACGCTGACACTGGGAGTAAACGCTGTGCGTGTCAAGGTGTACGCTGCCGTTCCGAACATGCAAGGGCCCCGTTTCACATCTTGCACGTACATAATTTATTACTCATCACATTACACTGGATCCATACTCCATCATACAACACCGGAGTTTCTTTTATTTCATATTCTTTCACAGAAACAGTGTCCCACTTGAAAGAAGAATTTGTGAACTTTCGAGCTCAATCTGCCCTCCGCCTGAGCAGGCCAATTTGCGCTTTCCTACATGACGTACATCAAAGAAATTCACGGACGGCTCGTTCATGATCGCCTCGGTTGATAGTGTCTCAATGACATGTATACCAACCCATCGGCTGCATCTCAAGCCCCCTTCACGTGAGTTGGGTGCCCCGAGGTCTGCCTTTCAGGTGGAGAGTTCCTGAGTGTGTGGGGTTTCTACTGGCGCAAGTGTTTTTGCGCTGTTTCTCGCCGCCTCGGCACCTCCAAAACAAACGGGTTATTCACCGGAAGTAGTCTGGTCTCGATCCGCTGGGGCCCCTGGACGTGGCCATGATACATTCTGAGGGGCCATGTGTTGCGGGTATGGCATGGACAGCGACATGCACATTTTTGTCGTAACGCCATATTTAGAAAATGCTCTTCTTCTTTGAGCTCTGCCTTTCCCAAGCCTCATCCCTCAGTCCACTCCCAGCCGTAAACTGGCATCCTCAGATCTGAGTTCCCAGGTGCATGTTGATCAAGCGTCAGTGCTTTGAGGACGAACACAATCGTTCAAAACCAGAGACAGGAGCACGAAATTTCGCTTGGCGATATCCGCTCACCGTTGGACGCGTGAAGGGGTCAAGTGTATCGAAAACAATCCTCGAACGATTGGGCTTGACACACACAAATTGGCCGCAGCTTTGCAATGTAAACCAAGTAGCAAAAACTTGCATTGTGTGATTCACTCAGCCCTCAAAACCAAACCCAATATACAAATGATGGACGGGCGGGAACGTGGCGAGATAGATGACAGTATTTGTTTATCCTTCGCCAGGAAGGGGGGCAACCGGCCATGAAATCCCACCAAAGTTCCTTCATCACGCGTAGACCTTGGTTCTCGTTGAGACTTGTACTAAATGCCTCAACAGACCCCTTTCCCCCACACTCAAACGCAGCGAATGGATCCACGACAACCGGAAACAGGCTTGCCTGCCGGCAACGCTCGCAGTTCATGGCACATCCCAAGCTCTCACTCACGTCTTACAAAACATAATGTAATCAGCTTATCGTCCATTGCATTTGCGCTCGCCATGGCCCTCTGGCAGCGCCATCTGCTCCCATCGTAGCCACAATGGATCATGCCCGTGTTACATACAGAGTGCCAAAACTGGCGAACCCTTCATGGACAGACCCGCAATCCCACCAGCACGCCATTCAGTCAACGCCATTCAGTCAACATCCAGAGTTATCAAAGGCAAGAAAACTCTCTCGATTCATTTGCTCCTCCAACGGGATACCGCACATTGCCCCAATGGACTCTGAGCGCCTGCCACAGTCACCGCTGATGTCACGACTTGCGCCCGCTCGTTTCAAACGCTCCTGCCGGCACACTCCTTGGAGCTCGAATTCCTTCCCTACTCTTCACTCTCAAATGCCTCAGAAAATCTCTCAAGCCTTCACGAGGCCCTTCGAAAGATGTTGGTGATGATCTTGTCCAGCTTGTTCCTCCATCCGCGGCTCCTCCGGAGGGCGTTGAACTTGGCGGCGGCCCTCGTGACGGATTGATTCACCCGTGCGTTGGCGGCCGCGGGGGATCCGCCGGAGGCCATGCTGTCGGCGTCCGCGGGGTCGAGGGCGAAGACGACGTAGGGCTCCGAGGGGGCAGTGGTGCGGTGCGCGGGAAGGGCGAAGTTCCAGAACAGCATGCCCATCAGCGGCAGGCCCTCGTTCGCGAAGGCGTACCCTGAGTCGAGGACCTGCGCGCGAGGCCCAAAGAGACGCCCTCATATCCTGGACGGGCAACGCGAATTGTGCATTCGTGTAATCCTCCGATGTGCTCCTTAAGACGCACAAATTCCACATTGAAGAATCATCTCTGCTGTGCGTGATTTGTGCGTAATTTATGGTGAATTATAATTGTTTATTGACGACACGACATATGGTGAATGTATTTATCTTTAGCGCAGGTCAGCGGACGATCAATTCTTGAGGAGCCCCAGCCCCTGTCTGTTGGCAGCTGATGCAATGAATACACTGACGCACCACTCATCGCTCCGTGAGCGGCTGCGAAATATATCACAAATAGGACCAAAACGCTTCCTGTACACTTGCAATCTGCTCACGGGACACGCTACGATTTTATACACGTGCTTCTCCGGCGCATCGACCCCACTCATTGGGCGCGTCATTCAATTTGTACGTCTGTACGCCGTTCGACACAAAACCTTCTGTCAAAATGCCACAAAGTACGCGTTCACCACTTATCAACGAATGAATAAATGAATTCAGTGGTGAGCGGATCTCAATGGAACGCGTGTCCGAAGAATGTATCCACAGAGCCTTTTGTGGATTATCCAGAATGCTCACCACAGGGATGCTAACGGGACAACCGTTGAAGGGATTCGTTCTTTTCTTGATGAAATGGTGAATTGATGCTCCTTGAAATTGGAATCAAGCAGCTATGCCCCCAAATGACGCAAATGCGCAACTAAGTTTGCAGTTGCGCGCTTGCGTCCTTTTCGGGGCATAGTATTTCGGCACGTCGTCGCGTGATCGATCACACGAATGTGTGCCCTCCAATCCCGGATCAAAGCACCGAGAAGCAGCCTGTGCAATTCAACGAGGCTTCAACAAGAGGTTCAATTATGTGGCCATGGGAACCTATGCCGGAAAGCAACGCAGCGAAATATGAGACCCCAGAAGCGGCACCTCCTTGAAGTGATTCACTCGATTCTGATCGTTCAGCCTCTTCCCGAACTCGGTAACCACATAGGGCTTCTTCATCTGAGAGGACAGGATCCCATGCGTCGCTATCCACCGCTTGGTGAACTCCGACTCGGCTTGTGGTCCCCTTTTGTCGACGCCCCAGTCGTCCACCCAGACATGGACGCTGGTGAAGTCGACCTCCGGGATGTCGAAGTGGCGATAGAAATCGGTGCCCAGGTCCCAGGTGTCGAATGGGTTCTGTGACATCAGATCTGCAAAAATGCACGCTCCCCAGAAAAGGGGTCACAATACAGCATGGTGCCTGACAGTGACTGGGCTTAGTTCAATCGATTTAGCGACAGAGTCAACTTGATAGCAAGGCAGAAGAAGAGGGATTATTCACCTGCAAACTTGCCTATTTGGTAACTTGTTTTGTTGCATTGGTGCTTTGAAGTAAAATTTCAGGCTCGCTTCAAAGCAACAATATGATGAGCATGATAGAGCACGTGTGAGTACATCAATCATAGCCCACTTAGAATTAGATTACTATATGGTGCAGCAGAAGTCTTCAACAGATTGGCAGTGCCAGAATTATAACACTGTAACTCATCAGTGGCAGAAACGTCGAATATTTTCAGCGATGCACTGCTAAGTCAATCCTGATTTCCCAAGATTCTTCGTGTATTTCATCGGAAGCCAAATTCCTAACTCCGGTTTAACTACCCTCGCCGCTTCGTTGTTAAACAGAAAATGGCTAGTTTATTTTGATTATTTGTAGCCTAATGTTCGCTTCGAATTTTCGGTTCCTGTATCTTGCGTTTGATTTTGTAAATATATCGCATTGATTCACACCTGGGGTTGACGGTCCATAAAATCCTTCCTCTCCATGAGTCACAAGATGGTTGCCATCCAAGCTCTTTGCATGTCTGCACGCCCTCCTAAGGAACTCCTGCATGCCGAGGAATAGAGCAAACAGCGGGAAATCAGCAGGTTTCAAGTAAGCATGTGCAAATACGCAAGCCCGTGCAATCGTTTGCCCAGTAATCAGGCACAGATATACGTTTGGAGGCGCTCAAACGCAACTGAATGCATTATTAAAAATACGCGCATACACGAAGCATTTTCATAGAAGCACAGTTGTTTGACATCTCCAAGAAGCGAAGTTCCTCGGAAACACACAATTACTGGTTTCACCCCCTTTTCAGAGAGAGCCCAAAATAAGTCATATTATGATACTGAGATGTACAAAAATAGTAATTATGCCTGTGAGTGTGGTTTATTGGTGCTGTGCGCTGGGAGACTGGCTCCATGCAATGGATCTTTTTTCCGAACAAGTTGCAGCTTTCAGACTATTGCAACACTTTTCACTATTTTTTGTTACCAATATTGTTTAAATTTCTATCAAATTTTGACCCGTAATCTAAGGCAACTTAGCGGCTCATGTACCACAAGTGTCGTTATGCACATGAGGCAACCAAATATGTTGCTAATTGCATTTTCATCCCGTACCTGATATTGAAGAGCAGTGAAATTTCAATGTGAAGAAAATCTACCACACTTGACAAGCTTCAATTTGAAACAATGCTTCAAATTGGGAGTTACGCGATGAGTGTATGAAATGAACTGAATCTAGCGTCTCTTTCCTGGTTGGTATGTGTGTGTGCAGATAGTCGCTCGAATGGCTGCAGGCTTTTATGCGATTTCTTGCCAATCGTTCAAGATCTCAGGACTAGATTGCCTGTAGATTTCATACCATTTTTAGATTCCACTTCATGAGCGTATCCTGGTGGTGCTCTGTGCCGTGGAAATACATGACACCGTCCAAATGCAACAAGATAACTACTCTTACAGATTGCGTCGTTGCAGCGCTGCAATTTCCATACAGTATTGATGTTTCAAAGGGAGACTGAGTGAGTTGTGCATCAGGCAACTGAAGATATCGGATTTACCGACCTATGCTTACTGTTTGAAAGTAGTACCCAACAAAAAAACACCGGTACTTGCTTTGATCTCCCTTTGGCATTATTTCAACTGAATTTTCAACAGAACATGCAGCAGCTGTAAGTCCACGCTTTCCGGCGAATAAACATATGCAAAATGTTACAGGAACCAATGAAAATATCAAAATTGCTCCGCCCAAAATTAGTTATTCTCTATAAATTTGGGTCAATACTTCTCCATCGCTCCCACATCATTTTCCAACAAAATTTTGCGCCAATCCTTGCTTGCAAGTCTGGTGTGTACTGTACAAATTGAAAGTCAAATCCATTATGCATTGAGGATTTGGCAGTCCTTTGTATCAACGGTATTTTCACCTGATCAAACTCGGTATTTGATGCCAAAAATGACCAAAATTTTCCTTTCACCTAACACTGAAAGAGATCGTTTCTTATTTTTTCCTCTTGCGAATTTGTAGTTAAGGATTCTGGAGCCCAATATTTCTGATTTTGGAATTTCTTAACAATTTTGAGGCCGTCCTTGTAACGAATTTTG